AGACCACCCAGACCCCACCACCTCACTTCCTGCCCACTGTGTACTGAGCCAACCTATCCTCTCCCCCTGAGGCCTATCCTCAGACCAGATGGGACCAGGCGTGGGCAGTGTGAGCATCCCCTGCCTCCGGACCCCCTGATTTCCAAGACCCGGGAATGCGGGGATGCTACTAGCCATAGCTAACATTTGTTAAGTACCAACCATGTGGCTAGCATGGTATTAGGGCCTGTGTGTGTGTTGCTTAATTTCGTTTTCACATTAGCCCTGCAAGATAGATGTGATTAACCCATTTTACAGATAAGGAGACTGAGACTCAGAGGGTAAGTCACTCGTGTATAAAGTCACACATGGCCAAGCTGGGATTCACACCCAGGCAGCCTGGCCACCCTATGGTGAAAAGCCCCCTCCCCCCACATGGGGTGGTTGAGATGATGGACAAAGGGAATAAACATGGTGAGCAATTTATAAATCAAAAACCACTATCAAAATCCAAATCCTGATACATTCTAGGAGCTTCATAAGAATTTGGAAAAGGGAGGTGGACAGGATATTCCCATCTCCCTCATCACAGAATTAGCTTGGAGAACCAACCCTGCTGGTACCTCCGCCCACCACAGCCCTGGTCTTGGTTAGCAACCCCAGCTTTGCCCCTACAGTCTGGGGTCCTCGCCTGGGAGGACCCGACTCGGGCCAGGCCCTGCCTGTCGTCAGTCACTTTAAGTGTTTGGAGGTGGGTCCCTGGAGTGTGGCCCACTTTGACCTGCCTCCCAGCTCCAACAGCGCAGAATCTCTGCTCAGTGGTGCCAAACAAAACCACACAAGAGCACACGGCCCAGACTTGGTTGGGCCTGCTTTCTCGGCATCCCGATCTGGTCCAGGCGTCCTTAGAAGGGAGCCTGGAAGAAACATTTGACACTTTTCTCAAATCAGGAATTAGCCACAAGGAAGAGTTCATTTCTCTCGCATGGACTCCAACATACCAATCTGCACTTGTGTTTCAGAAGGAAAAAGGAAATTGCCCAGAAGGCAGCGGAGGAAAATGAGAGATACCGGAAGGAGATGGAACAGTGAGTGCCTCCGCTCTGTGCGTCTGCACACACGTGTTTGTGTGTGGACATGAGTGTGCTTCCGGGAGTGTAGCCAGGCCCAACCTACCTGGCCCTCTTGTTCCCTGGTGGATCCTCCTTTGCTGATAGCCGTTCCATAATCCTAGTAAAGCCCATCATATCAGGGTAACTAGAACATAGTCTTATATAATAGCCATGGTGGCATTCACACTCAATTAAGAATACAAGTGCCAAGGACTTTGTTGTCCTCACCACGGCAAGAACCATGTGGCCTCTTCCCAGGCTGGTTGGGGTTTCCCTATAGGGAGAAGGTAGGCCTGCGAAGGCTTTGGCTCCAGTCACAGGCATGGGAGTCTCCGTTTCAGGATCGTGGAGGAGGAAGAGAAGTTTAAGCAGCAGTGGGAAGAAGACTGGGGCTCCAAGGAACAGCTGCTCTCGCCTAAGATGATCACCACTGATGTCCACCCACTGCCCCTCCGCAAGCCAAAGTGTATGTATCGTGTGCCAGGGGGAGGGGGCTTCCTTCTGGGGCTGGGGGACTGAGGGGTCCAGACCGAGATGCTGGTCACCCTGCCCCCACCGTCACCTCCCCAGGTAAATAGCCCGTGGTTCTCTAGGCTGCGTTTCCTTCATGTGCCAGGGGCTCTCTGCCAGAGCATCAGGGCTGGCAGGATCTGTCTGCCCTCCTTGTCTCCGGTCTCCCCCACAACACAGACTCAGGCAGGCAGTCCCCTCCCCATGCCCTTGGACTGCTGAAGAGGGGTTGGTTCCAAAAGTGGAACCACTCATGGGATGCTCTTAGTTTGTTGGTTGTTGTACCCTCTTCCTACTTGGTTCTGAATTGGGGCTGGGGTGAAACAGCAGCAGGGAAGGGGAAGGGGCTCATGTTAAAGAGGACTCTGGTGGCCCAAGGTTGAGGGGCAGCTGTAGAAGGAGCTTACCTGAAGTGCCCCTACCACCTGCATCCCTGTGCATGGACCCTGCACGATCCCACCTCTCCAAGAATGGAGTCAAGGAAAGGACTATGAGACCGCTCTCAGGCGCAAAACTGCAGCCATCCTGTGGCCTCAGTGCCGTCTGCCATTCCCATCTTTCTTCATCTGTTCTGCGTTCTCACCTCCCGTTTCAGTCCAATTGCTCCCCTATCCACCTGTTCTCAACCCCAACTCCCAGGATGTCTCTTCAAGAGGCAAGCTCATAGCACCAGGGCAAAGTGGGGGACTCAATCTCAGTGCTTCTTCAGTGGGCTTGTGGTGGGGAGCCAGGAGCAGGCCCAGGATGCCTGGTGGGGCCTTGACTCTCACTTATAGCTGTTTTGGTTTCTACTTGACATATGGGGCAGGTTCTACTGAGCATTGATTGTGCTCAGCTGACCTGGGAACCTCCAGATGTGGGGTGAATCTGTACCCAAGAACCAAGGTTCCCCATTTCTGACTTGTGGCAACCATTTGGTGTCCTGTGATGGGGTCTGGACAGCTCCAGCCCCAACTTTGAATAATGCCCAAGCCCTAGAGGGACATCAACTTGGGTCAACGAAAAGGTTCAGAGCATGTGGATGGTTCCATCTCACTCCTCCCTGGTGCAGGGCAAACAGCTCCCTTCCAGGCCGAGGGCACAGTCATCTCAGGGACCTCTCGGAAGGACAAAGCACACTCTCATCAGCCTCCCCCATGACATTTGGCACTAGTTGAGATTGTGGCCAGAACTAAATTCCCGGTGAATAATCTGTGTTTTAGACAGGGAGCTAATTTGCTCTTATGTGTGAAATAGGAGCTTCAGAAGGAGAGAAATTGATTTTAATTGCTTCTCATGAAAGTAATCCTAGTCAATTTAGTAGCTTCTTAGAAATTAGGTCTTGGCTTCAGCACAAATACATCCTCTCATAAACTATAGAAAATAAAAACCCTTTCTTTAGCTAGCTATTTATTTAGTACTTTTAAACCAAATCAAGCTTTGTGAATAAAAGGAGTGAGAACTTTCCCTTTGTTCAAGATATAAATGTTTTCTGAGAGAATTCCGCGAAGCATGAAATTGATGACTGCAGTCTGCCATTCTGAGCTGGGGCAGCTGTTGCCTCCATCCATCTCCATATGTACCGGCGTATCTCTAAATTCTAATTTAGAGATAAGTCAGGAAATGCAGGAAGGTGTCTGAGTCAGCTCAGTTTCTGCCTTTCTCCCCACTCCTGGGAAGCTGCAATGGTCTCAGCTGTGTTGAACCTCCAGGACCCAGCCATAGTCAGCTCCTCCATGACCACTCTTCAACTCTGGGGCCCAGTTAGCCAACAAGTCATACCTGACTCAGGTGCCTGTGCCTGTGAGGGGTGGGCCCTGCATTTTTTAATGGTCAGGAACGTGTACGGAGCACCTCTTACCTGGGAAATGAAGCCGCTTGTCCTAATGATGTGAGTGAGACTGACTGTCCCCTTTACCACCACTTGTCCCAGGGGCTCAGCCTGCCTACCCATGGCTGACCCAGCAGAACCTCAGCACCCCACCAAGCCCTCAGGTCTGGGACACACTATCACAGAGGCCCCCAGAACTTTCCGTAGCTAAAGCAACAAGAAGGGGGGATTTTTTTTTAATTAAGGACCCCAGGGCTAGAAAAAGCCTGAGAGGAAAAAGCTTGAAGACAGTTCCAGCCCTCTCTCCCCAGCAAGGACCCCAGCAATTAGTCTCCACACCCAGTAGACCCCACGGTTTGGAAGTTGAGTTTTTTCCCTACCAAACTATTAAAATAATCATTTGCATCCCCATTGTTCGATTAAGTAGTCATTCTTATTTGCAAGGAAACATCAGTGTTCCACCGTTGAATAAACATAGAGCCAAAAGCAAAGTAACTTAAAGTAACATAAATTGAGCCAAAGTAGCCTCTTCATAGGTTAATGGGCAAGTGCTTCTAATTAATATTTTGAAATATTAATGAGCAGCTCACAGCGGACTCATACATCACCTATCTCAGTCTCAGGGAGGCCAGAGTCCAGGCTGGAAACCACTGGAATGGATGGTTTGCTATTCTCCACATATGTCCAGAGCCATGTCTTCCTGACCACATATGCCCCTTACCCTTTGGAATCTCCTCAAGACCCCCAACCCACCCACACAGTTCCGACTTCCCCCGGGGACCCAGAGCTGCAGAGATGGTCAAGAAGTCAGGAGGAGCTATTCTCCCGCTGGAAGCCCTTGGCACCAAACACGTATAATACTCAGATATTCCCACCCTCTGTGCCACAACCTCCCAAGTTTCAGCTGAATGCCCTGCAAAATGGTTCTCACTCTGCTGTCAGATCAGAGGCCCCTGTTCTTAGCCCATTTTACAGATAGACAAACTAAAGCTACCAAGGTTGAAAGCACTGCATGTACCATCCCCAGAGCAAGAAAGCTTTGCTCGGGGTTTCTGAGCCCTGTTCCTGCCCCCTGACCTCACAGCTCCCATAGAGGAAGCTGGTCACGGGTCCCCAGGCTCCTGGGAGGCCCCTCTGGCCTCTTGGTCGCCTGAATCCCTCTTGGTTCACCAGCTTCCTCCTCTTTTCCCAAGTAGATGATCAGGGAGTGGAGCCCAAGCTTGAGCCTGCCGACGACCGGGACAGAGGCGCAGAGAAGCAGGGAGAGCAGGTTTGCAGCCCCCGCTTCACTCCCTGGCCTTGCTTCTCTGCTTGCCTTTCCCGCCGCCTCCTGCCAGCCCTGCAGATGCCCAGCTCCAAGGGCTCAGCACGTGGTGGGGACCCCTGGAGTCTGTGAAGCTCCTCCAAGCCCCGGCTCGGTCCAAGCACTGCACACGAGACCTTGAGAATAGGACTCATGGCCGGGCTGAAATGTCAGCCCGTGCACATCAGGACACCTGAACCACTGTTTCAAATATTTAAGGACTGCCCCAGACCAAGTCCTTCCTCTGCTGCTCTGGCCTCTCCTCAGATCTCCCCAAGGTGCAGCAACTAGGGGGCAGTGCTCGGTTCAGCAGGGGGCTTTCAAGGTCCTGTTCTAGAGCCCAGGCTGGTCAATGGTGGGTAATTACTTAAGCCATCACCACTGGCCCAAGGAGCTTCAGGTTTGAGGTATTGCCGCATCATGCTGTTGCCTGGGGGAGGCAGGGGGCTGTTGCCCTGGTTACCTGGCCTGGATGGGGATACGCTTTTCTGTAGGCCAGTCTCCTGCCCACTGCTGCCTGAGCTATCTTTCCCAGAGCTGACCCCAGTCATTGCTTTCTCTTTTAATGTTGAAAATGGGGGATATGGCCTATACTATGAAACAAGACTGTTTTGTTCCATCTGACAGCAGTTCTAGGCAGAGACCCAGGCTCCCTTTTGTCTCAAGCCATTTCTTGGAGGAAGGGACCAGACATCGGTCAGGAGAGGCCTTGTTCTCTTTCAACGGGGCTTTGTGTTGGCAGGCTGTGGCTATGATTTGGAAAATCTCATCCTCCCACAAGGGGCTTTCTCTTTGATTTTCTGGCACTGACTTCTAAAGCCAGTGTCCTAGGGAGAGGCAGTTGACAGGGGCCCAGGGACTGGCAATCAGGACCTTTCTCAGATGGCCTTAGGCCTGCTTTACAACCCAGGTGAGGCCAGGTAAGTGGAGAATCAGAGGGTATTGCTGTTGGAGCCACCAGTGCTGCTCTTCGTCTCACAAAGCCACGAGTTCCTTGAGAACCAGCTCCTGGCCTCTGCCCTGGACACTCTGGCTGAACTGAACTGCGTCTCACTGCTTTGTTCTCTGTGTTGTTACAGCCTTTGGGTGGTTTTATCGTTATGATGGCAAATTCCCATCCTTCCGGAAGGTAGGACAGGACTGGGTGCTGTGCCGTTGACTGCTGAGTTTGCTGTGGGTTTTGACGTTTTCCAAACATTGCTTCTTTTCCTGTCAACTCTCAACAGTGTGACCTAGCCTGTTCACTTGAAGGCTAACTGTGTCTGCGCCTCTCTGTCAGGCTGACGTCAAATGGCAGGTGCTGTCACAGAGGCATCATGGGGGGAAAGTGTTCATAGGGTGAGACCTACCCAAGCACCATCAGGCACCCCAGTGGGCATAGGGGCAGGGGCATGACAGGAAGCTTCCACTTTGCTTCTCAGTCAAGTAGAACCAGAGGTCAAGGCCAGAAGCTGAGGTCAGACAGAGTGAAATATTAGGCTGAGTGTTCACAGCGCCGATTACAATACCGACTGTGCCAGACACAGACTGGCTGCCGAGGCGGACATTTTGCTGTCTTGGGTTAGGACAAAGCCACACCAATCATAACTCGCTCCTGGAAATATCTTTGCATGTGCCCAGGATAATGCAATTTTCTGGTCTCTGGGGCCTTGGATTTTCTCTCTAAATCTTATTACTGTATCTCCAGGCCCCATAAACCTCTCCCGTCCTTTTGCTTTCTAAATCACTTTAACATTTGATTATGAAAATGCCGCTGTTCGTATCTATAGATTGGACATTGAAGATGACTTGATATTTGGAAATCAGGCATCACCATAAATCTGAGTGAACTAATTTAGGTGCTATCACTCCACCGGCTCTTTCTGGCAGGATGTGGGCCCCATGGAAACCAAAGCACTGGCAGCAGGGTGACCTTAATGTCATGTAACTTCTCCCTGCCTCCTGTCTGTCAAGTGGGAATGTCATGTGCTGGAAACATCTCTCCCCTTCCTCCAACACAACACTGTTAAAATAATAGACAGCAGCATTATTTCTGACAGAGGCAAATGTCTTTACCTAGGAGCACAGATCATGATGTGTATGACAGTGAATAAACCAGGACAGTGCCCCTCAAGGGATTCCTTGCCACCCCCACCATGGTCTCAGAAAGGACTTGGTCTCAAGAAACTGTCCATTTAATTTTCAGGCTGACTATAGCTTAGGATGCCTTGTTGGGTTAGATAACTGATTCTTCTCTGTATACTGTTTTTACTAGAAGTCAGAGAGGACAGCACACACATACACACAGGACTTTACTTGAAAAACAACTGAAAGCCGATGGATAGGTAACATCCTTTCCAGGCACTACTAAGTAGGTAAAAGGGATGTGTGTGCGTCCCCTCCATACACACATTTCTCATCAGAGATCATGTTGCTTGAAAAGTGGTTTTGCTCAAGAAGTTGACCTGTTTTTCCCTGCTCATTAGGTTGGCCGTTTCAGAAATAGCTGATAGTTTGGTTTTCATTTCATGTCCAAGAGAGAGGAAAATGGCTTCCGGGTAGCAGCAAGAACACACCCACCCCGCCTGACTCTCCTCTCAGTCCAGAGCAAAAGGAATTTTTGCCGTGAATTTAACTGACAGCTGAAAGGACAACAGAATCATGTCCCTCATGCTGGCTCTGAAAATCCATCATCATTTCTTTAGAGCCACAGAAGACCCTACGTCTCCCAGCAGCTGGAATGCCCAGTGCCCAAATAATGCAAGTGGCTGTCTATGGCTGTGACCATTGACGCACAATTTCCCCTTATTTGAAAAGCTAAAGACTCAATGGCTTCGATTTCTAATCAGGCAGTAAGCCCCTCTAGAGTTCAGACCCCCGGTCTATAGCCCCACAAAGTCCATGCCAGGGCCTGAGGATTCGTGGTTGTGACTAAGCCCTTGCACCAGCACCGCTTGCATAAATCATTCACACATTCCCTACTTGCAGGAGCCCCACCGCCTGGGAGGAAGGCATATTCCCATGCAACTAAGTACCTGTATGGAGTGGGCCAGTTGACAATGCTATGGGGCAACTTACCCTTCCACATCAGTAAGCAGGTGCTGCTTTCTTGGAGATGGGACAGAAACTGTCACATCTATGTGCCTGCCTCACCCAAGAGCCCTGGCTCTAAAATCTTAGCATGGGTGGTTTTATGAAACCAACAGAATGACCATTCTTATCACGATGATCCCTGTAGGAGCCATGCCCTTGTTCTAGCAAGCTGCCACCAGGCAGAAAATTTCTGGCTCTTCTTCAGGAACTGCTGTCTGAATCTAGAACGTGATGGCAGGGATTCTTCTATCAACTGAGCCAAGAGTCTAGTGAACAGGGTAGGCAAGGAACCAAGCAGGACTCTGAAGCAATTAGAACCATTTTCTCAAGTGGCTCATAGATTACTATGGGGTGGGTCCCAACATCCCCGAGATGGAGGGCCATCTCCAAAGCACATGACCCATGCACGGAGGAAGGATGACTCAGTTATAGGTCAATAATGACCCCTTACGTCCCTCCAGCTATGGATGAAATTGTGTATCCATTTCTGAAAACGCAATTCTTCATGCCTGGCCTTGGATGCTGGGGTGATTCAGGAATACGGAGGGGAGGCCCTAGGAAGTCTTTCTGGGGGAGGGGTGAGCTCAGTGAACAGGCAGGTTCCCTCCTTCCCCCAAAAATTCTCCGGAATGCTGATCTCTCTGCTGTCCCCTCTTGGGAGTGCTGGCTCTGTCCTCCATGCTGTGTTTGATGGGGCTGACACACTCCCCTGTCATGTTCCCATTTCCCCAGTTCATCTGGACATAGTAGAAAATTTGTGAGACTTGGGAGACTCAGGTCCACATCTGGGCATCACTACTTACTATTATAGATGTTTGACATTGGGCAAGGGACTTCACCTCTCTGAGCCTTAGCTCCTTCCTCAAGAAAGTGAGATGATGCCTATATGTGAGATAATCGAGGTAATTTCCTTGGCACGCAGGCAGTCCATAAATGTTAATTCTCTTCCTTACTCCTTGGCTTCCCTGCAACCCCTTGGGAGAAGCAGTCAGGAAAGTAGGCTTTATTGGTCCAATTCCAACAGGAAAGTAAGGAGACTTTTTGCCTTGCACCTCTCTCCCTAAGTCCTCTGGAACCCTGACAGCCAGGGGACAGTAGTTAGGCCATTCTCCCTCCACACCCTCACCTCCCAGTTCTGTAGTTTTTGGCTAATCCTCAGTTCAGAGGGAATGGTGGAGTTTCCAGGATGAAATGGTCTGGAGCTTAAGCATCACAGCAAAATCTTGGCTCTGGGCTCCCAGGTCTGAGGTTGGCTCCCACCTCCTCTAGCACAGGACAGACAGGACCTCTACCGATGAGGCTTGCCAGCTCTCCCAGCTTTGCTGTAGAATCTCCCAGGGTACATCTGTGGTGTCTGAACTTGAGATACATTTCTCTCCAGGTAATGGAGAAGGCATGTGCTCAAATACTAGGAAATAAATGCAATGCCTCTTATTTATACAGTATTTTAATGTTTACAAAGCTCTTTTTATAAATGTTATTTCATTGGCCCTGAATGGCAAGCCTGTGGGGCAGGTATTTCTTCCATTTTTGGAGATGAGGTGATTCAGGCCCAGAGAGGTTAAGACACTTAGCCAAGGTCACACAGCTAGTTAATGAACTAGTAAGCCCATTCTCCCACTCTGCAGTGGGTGGCAGTGGCCTGCCTGTCATAAATCTGAGGTCAGATGCCCAGTGCAGACGGGATGGAAGTGGGGAAGGGACTCACCGTGGGGTGGTTGCCTGGTGTTGTTTGAGGACTGAATGCCCTGTTGCTGTGCTGTGCCAGTGTCCACGCTGCCTTGTAACCCTTGTCATGTAAAAAATGCCACATCGGCTCAGAGAGGAAAGGAAAAGAAGAAAGCCAAGTATGACGACAGCTTGCAGGAGTTGAGAAAGAATAAGAAGGAACTGGAGTTTGAGCAAAAGCTTTACAAAGAGAAAGAGGAGATGCTGGAAAAAGAAAAGCAACTGAAGATCAACCGGCTGGCCCAGGAGGTACGTGCGTGTCCAGCCCACAGGCCAGGCGAACACCCCTGGGATACGGCGTGGTTGTTCCCCACCACAGTCCCAGGGAGCCAGCCGGAGTCATTCCCCCCAAATGCAGTCCAAGGATGGAGTGAGCCCTGCCCCTCCCCTTTGTCGGGAGAGTGAGATCACCCCACCTGCGCAGAGTCACCTGAGACTAGCTTCTGGCTTAGATGTGTGTTAGGGATTGAGCCTGGCCTCCTTGCTGAGGTATGGATTTGAGGCTAGCCTCTCTGCCTAGATTGTAGGACTTAGGTTAGCCCTCTGCACACTTGGCTAGAAGTTTAAGTCTGTCCTCTCCACCCCCACCCCACCAGAGTGTGAGCCCAGAGTGAGGCCTCTCCACCCTAGGTGTGGCTATGAGCCTGAGGCTAAGCTCTCTGCCTAGACCAGCGGTTCTCAACCTGTGGGTTGCAACCCTTTTGGGGGTCGAACGACCCTTTTACAGGGGTTGCCTAAGACCATCAGAAAACAAAAAGATACTTACATTATGATTCATAACAGTAGCAAAATTACAGTTATAGAGTAGCAACGAGAATAATTTTATGGTTGGGGGTCACCACAACATGAGGAACTGTATTAAGGGGTTTCGGCATTAGGAAGGTTGAGAACCGCTGCCATTAGATACATGCCAAAAACCGCCTTCTAGCCTGAGTAATTCTTATTTCCTAGGAGAGTTGGGTGACCTTAACTTCTTAGCTGTTGGAGAAGTCATTAGTTCTGCTTCTCTTTAATGCTTCCATGAATCAAAATGCCAGGCTGATTAGATTAAAAAACCAGAGAAGTCCTGGAAAATGTGAAGTGCATTATTAGGTCTGCCATTTAGGAACAAATTGGCTACAAAATAAACAAACTCAAACTCTACTTCCGAAGACAAGACAGCCCAGAGGGAGGAAAAAAGAGTCAAGTTAAGACTCTTAAGAATGTGCTGGGAGCCTACAAAATAACCATTCTTGGAGAATCCTAAGAGCCTCAGGGTTTGTGGGGATGCTGGGGGCCAGCTAATCCCATACAATGCCTGGGCCCCTTCTCTGATTTTTGCCTACAAGTGGACTTAGTCAACCCAACACCTCAACACCCTCTCCCCATTGTTTCCGCCTGGGCCCAGGTGGAACAAGCTTGGATCTTTTTCTAGACAGTTGACACACCCACCAGTACCCTGGGGGTTTTGCAGAAGTGTTTTCTCAGGCTGCTGATTCAAGCATGCTGCCCACGTGTGACTCTGGCGTGCCTTTGTCCTCTCCTTTTTGTGCCGGCTTTGGGTCCCAGGTGTCCGAGACAGAGCGGGAAGACCTTGAGGAATCAGAAAAGATTCAGTATTGGGTGGAAAGGCTCTGTCAGACGCGCCTTGAGCAGATTTCCTCTGCTGATGATGAAATTGCTGAGGTAACAGAGCCCCCTCTTTTCCACATAGGCCCTCCTGCTGCATTCAAAATAATCTGCCCTGGGGACAGTGGGGGGGCAGGATGGCCACTGTCAAGGGCCACCCCTACCAGCCCATTCCCCCTTCCTCTCTTGAGGATGGGGAGCATACCTGTTTTTCTGGCCTTATCTCCAGCGTGACCACTAAGTCCTAGCTCATCTGACATGGTCCCAGTTAGGCCCGTTGTCCTGGTGAAATTACTGCACGTGCCCTTTTCACTGAGATGTGTTCCAGTTTAGACGATCAATTATATGGTCACCTTACTTATCACCCACATATGGCATAACTTGGGTCCCTCTTGCATTTCGGCATTCCCTACCGGTTGCCTGGTATGAGCTCAGGTGGCAGCGAAGTGACACCCCCATGGCTCTGGTCTGAGGGTGGTGGGTCCCCGGCAGTAAGAGAACTAGATTAGAAGAACATCGTACCAGATGTGTTGTGAAGTGGAGCACGAGTCAGACGATGACAGAACTTCATTACAACCCCCCAGATTACCACGGTGCTCCTGCCTCCCCCGCCTTCCGTGTCTCCCCTGGTCCCACCTCTGAGACGCTTTGCAGGTGGGCTGCACCTCCACACCACTGACCTGGATGATATCCCTTTGGACATGTTCTACTATCCTCCCAAGACTCTCTCTGCTTTGCCAGTGATGCCCCACCCTCCCCCCTCCAACCCACCCTCCAAGGTCTCTGCGCCCCCTGTCCTTCCATCCTCAGGCCATGTGAGTGCCTCATCCTCGCCCTGGGTGCAACGCACTCCACCCCCCATTCCCATCCCTCCCCCACCTTCTCTTCCCACCCAAGACCTCACTCCTACCCGCCCACTGCCCTCGGCACTGGAAGAGGTACTGGGCAACCACCCGTTCCGCGCTGGGGACACAGGCAATCCCACAGAGGACTGGGAGGCAAAGAACCACAGCGGGAAGCCTGCCAACTCCCCTGTTCCTGAACGGAGCTTTCCACCCACCCCAAAGGTACCACCCCTGTTCCGCCTGCTGTGCTGGGAAGCAGGAAGAGTGGGCAGGGCTGCTGTTTCCCACGGAAGAAGCATCACCCCACCCCATCTTCCAGAAGGAGCTCCCCAACCTGCATGTGTGGACACCCTGCATGTGTGTGGCTTTTGCTGATGTTGAAGTGCTGTATTGGATGGTGACTTGCCTGTGATACTTGGGACGAGCTACAGTGTATCGTATCAATGTTCATTGTCCTCTCTTCCTCTTGGCTAGTATGGACGGTAACACTCAGTGTAGTACTTGCAGGACGGTGTTGAATAGCCAGAGCTCTATGTCACAGCTAGTCATTTCTTGATATTAGCCCAGAAAACCTTGAGTGTGAGAAATAAATCCTCAGTTTAACAGGGGGAAAAGTGGGGGAGCAGTATTAGGCTCTGTAAATGAAATACACTGTCCGGTGCAATATTAGGACACTGCAGTACCATTTTCTATGGCCCTAGCCGACTATGTTGGCTTGAAGTATAATACCCAGAAATGTCTGGCCAACTTCCAGCTACAGAAAAGATGAGGATGGACAATTCCTAGAGATCTCCAAATTTACTATTAAAAGACTAGAGCCCTTTTTCATGGATGTCAGGAGGCAGAACCGTGATCTTTCTCAAAAAGACATATTTCTTATTAATTGTTCTTGATCCAAAGACTATATTGGGAGAGGCAATCCCCAAGGAAGACACGGAGCTTCGATTGCATAGAAGGAAGAACAAAATACTCCTCTGCTCCAGTAGCTGTGAGGCAAGGCTTATGTCAGAGGCAGAGCCAAAGCAGTTCGTGTGGGCTGAGGGTGGGGGCTGTGTGTGTGGGGATGGGTGGGGGGAGGGGTAGGCAGTAGTACCTGATCAGTTTTTATTAACCTTCCCTGATGGATTTGAGATGCTGCATGAAGAGCAGAATAAGCATCTCAGAGCATTCAGGAGATCTTGGGGGAAAGAAGGTGGGAGTAAAGAAAGTATCAGATGCAGATGAGGCTGCAACTTCTAGCAGGGCTCTCCCAGGGGACTCCCTCAACCTCTGGTGGAGCCCTGAGCCCTATCACTCTGACAGACAGAAATCTGTCTTTTCCAGGGATGTCTTTCACCAGAGCCCAGGGAAAGGGGGCTGAGGACAAGGGTTTGCAGGGGGCTGAGTTAGCCTGGTACAGAGGGCTGCATTCTTACTGTGTGTGGCCCCCACCAAGATAGACGGCAGCTTTTTCTCAACAAATTTGATTCAAAAATCATTGATCGAGTGCCTACCTTGTGCCTCCCTGTGTGGAAGGGAGAGGGAAGCAGTGCTGAAAAGGACACAGAGGAGATTGACCACCTGTGCCCTCCAGGACTTTGCCATCTGAAGGATGAGCAGCTGAGCAGACAGGATGCAGCTATAAAATCAGCACAGCCCAGGTGTCTTGGGAGGGACTCCTACTGGGAGGTTGAAGGCACCTCCGTAAAGGGCTTTTAGAGCTGAGCCTTGAGGGATGGTGATAACATGAAGGATGGGAGGAAGGGCATTGCATGTGCATGAAACATAAAGATGGCAAGGAGGGGCTGCCTGGGTTTGAATCCTGGCTCTGCCACTGGCTAGATGACTTCAGGCATGAGTTCCTTCATCTGTCTGAGCCTAGGAATGCTAAAAATGGGAATGCTAATGGCGCCTGTCTATCATGAGGATCAAATGAGGTAAACACATGAACTCATTCTAAGTTCATACTTAGGAGCATGACAGGCACATAGTAGGTGCTCAATAGACATTAACTATAATCAGTGGCAAATCGGGGTACAAGAAAATCTGGGTGAAGCTGCAAACATGAGATGGGAGGTAACCTCTGCACCCTTTTGAGTTAGGGTTGAGATTCAAACCAGGGTCCAGCTTTCTTGGATTCTTCTAGCAATCACGGAGCTCCCACTGCTAGTTCCTGATCAAAGCAGAGGGGAGGTTAGAAGCTCCCCCAACACAAGGAGCCTCTGAAGGACTGGACCATAAGTGTCTTAAGCAACATCAAAGACATGATTGTTCCTGACTCGAAGGTGGGGGGCGGGGTGGGGTGCTGTTTTGTTAGCGAATCCTGCCTGTGTCAGCACTTTGGCTCTTGCACTACCTACCCTCCCCAACCTCCATCTCCCTGCATGCTCCTGGTGAATTGTCATCAGTGCAGCAGCAGGAAGCGAGGCTGCTGACACATCTGTATTGTCAGCCCAGCCACCAGCAGGTCATGGAAACAGCTTGGCATGTGTGCCTGCCACATCAGCACCGGCCAGGGGAAGGTTTTCAAGGCCATATCTGCCCCCCAGGCACTGTCCCGTGTGCCTGCTATACTATTGACTCATTCGCTTATTCATGCAACTTGTTTAGTGAGCACTTACTATATGCCAGACACTATGCTGGGCACCGGAGCACTCCCACAACATGGGCATCCCAGTCCCTGCCCGAGACAGCCTGCTGGGAAGACAGACAAGTAAGCAGGAAACTACCACACCACCCGAGCGAGACATGGGAACACAGGCGCTGTGATGAATGGTGGTGACAGAGAAGAAAAGCTCAAGAATGCTTCCTAGAGGCAGTGATACCCAAGCTAAGACCCAGGCAGGTAAAGCAGGAGAAAAGGGATGTGTAAAAACCTTGGGGCAAGAAAGCTTGGCATTTTAGAGGCTAAAATTAGGGATGAGTCTGTAAAGGAAGGTAGAGACACTCATGAAGGACCTTGGAGTCAAGCCAAGGAGCTCAGTAGTCAGCAGGGACCCATGAAGGGTCTGGGGCAGGGTTGTGACCCAATCCGATTTGTCTTGCCCAAGATGATCAGGTGGGTTAGAGCAAAGCAGACATGGTGCATGAACCCTCCTGGATGCCTCTCTTACTGCTCCTCACTCCCAGCCTCCAGAGACTCTGCTCACCCACCAGGAACAGCAGATGCTTTGTGTGCAGTCTGGGGACCAGAACCATGGCCAGAAGAGAGAACCCTTAGGGAGGAGGAAACTGGATGGCATCCAAGGCCAATGAGAAAAATTGAAAACCTATCTTCTGAGTGACAGTGGCTGCTGGTACCCCCATAACCAGACTCTGGCTCAACTCCCTGGTCCCTTGTAGCCACCCAGTAGTTTCTATGACCTGAGAGCACACTGTGACCCGTGAATTTCTCATCTGTCTGCTGCAGATCACGCCCGTAGGACCTCTGGCATGGTGCATGGACCAGACTTGTTCAGTATGTGCACGGTGTGAATTTGCATGTGTGGCAGAGTGCCATGGTTGGCCTGGACCACCCTGCCACAACCTCACATGGATCTCTCTTAAACTAACCCCTGTAGACATTTTGCCCAAGTCCACAGCCTCCACGAGGCCCTGGCGTGTCCACTATCTCCAAGCCTGTCATGGTCCAACAGGAGCCCACCTTCATCTACAGGATACCTGTGAGATCCGAGGTTCTGGTAAGCCCCTCAGGTCCCCTCCAGGGCATCTCCAGAGGAACAGACCAGAGCTGTCTCCCCCGGGTTCTGCTGGACGGGGAGTGTGATACAAACTCACATCAGGTGCCATATCCTGACCTTCTCATTGGCCAAGAGATGAATCTACGTGGGTGGAGGTAGTTGTTGACACAACCAGTGAAATTCCTGTTCCTCACTTGACCGAACAGGCTGGTGCTCCATCTAGAAGTGATAAAATTAACAGCTCAGATGTATGAGCCTGCCATGTGTCAGGCTCTGCAGATTCTCATGTAGTCCTTACAACAATCCAGCGAGAAGGTACCTGCTGTTATCCCTGGGTCACACTTGAGGGAACCGCGGCTTAGAGAGGGTAAGTCGGTTGCCCAAGGCAGAGCCAGGACTTACCACTTACTCCAGAGTCTTTCAGACCTCAAAGCCCAAACTCTTACCTATGTTGCCATCTTGCCTAAACCTACAACAATTCTAGCTGCCCTGGCCTGTGCCCCTAAGGCCTGTGGCATAGCGTGGAATAGCCTAAGGTGGGCAACTGGCCAAAGAAGATCGACTTCCTTTTTTCATTTCACATTTCCCTCCTCACGGGGACTGGGAATGCAAGGTCCTTGGAGAGTGGGGAGGGTCTGCCTACCCTCAGTCGCCTGCAGCTGAGTAAACTGGGACTCATGTGCACCCCCTTCCCACGGCACCAGCCACTGGCTGGCTTCCCCCCACCCCCCCATAATGGGAGGAGTCATGCCAGAATTCTTATTCTCCTTTCAAGGAAACCCTATCTAAATGTCAGGGCAGGGCAGCTCAGATACTTATTTTGAGCTTTAGCTGTCCTGTCAGCTCCCAAAGAGTAAAGTTCATGCTCCTGTGACAGCCGGCAGATGCATCCGTGTCGCATTCTCTGGCTGATGACAAGCGGTGGTGTCTGCTTGACTAGAACTGGGTAGCTGCTGCGTCTGGGGATGTGGAGTGGGCTGGAACTAAATCAGGCTGTGTCTGTTTGGGGAGAAATGTTGGCAGGACAACCCCAGGCTGGCAGGCCCAAGGTCTGGCATCAGGGGCAGATGAGACCTATTGGTAACGTCCAGTGTGGAACTTTGTTTTTTCTTTCTGGCAGCCACAGGAGATGTTGAAGAGGATGGTGGTTTATCAGACAGCGTTCAGACAAGTAAAACGATACCCACTGTGTGTCTGTGATCCTCCCTGCCACCCCGTGTGCCTCCCATTCTGACTTTTCTGGGAGTGCTGGTTGGCTCTGAGGTGGCCCCAAGCGCCATCTGCTGGGAGCCTCGGGCCAGAGCTGTGTCCTCATCGCCGCAGCCAGGGTTTGGGGAGGGTCTCTTATCAGGTGTGGGCCCTGGGCTTGTTAGACTCCATGCCTGAGCTGAGAAAACAGCAGGGTCCCTGGGGGCTCGGCCCTTTTGCTGCTGTTTGTTCAAAAAGGATCACAGCTTCACCCAATCCCACCTGGCACCGAGCCAGCACTAGGGAGGACGTGGTGGTCCAGGTCCTTCATCTGCCGGGGGTCCTCCTGTGTATGGGGCTTTAGAAGTCCTTGTGGTGCATGAGTGGTATCAGGCAGGAAGCCACTTATCCTCCCCATTTCCTGGGGCTTACATCAACAGAGCCAGCCATTGGATTGGCTCCCTCACCACTGATGAGAGACCCCCAAGTGGAGGGAGATCTTGTAGCTAATCTCCTCATGGATAAACCCCCACCAGACCACAGGCTGATTTGACTACAGGCAGACAGCAAAGGGGAGGTGTCAACTATATAGTGAGACATGGCTGTCTGCAAAGGAGGCTGCTCCCAGCCCAGGACTGAGCCGTGCATGATAAGTGACATCTAACACTTAGAAGGTGTGCTGTGCCAAGCACTGTATCTAAACATATATATTAACATTTAACCTTTGCAGCAACCTAGGAGTTAAATTCTATTATCATTCCATGTTGTAGATGAGACAGTGAAGCAGAGAGATTAGGAGTAACATCATGCCCATCGTGCCACAGCTAGTGTCAGGCCCCAGATTTTAATCCAGGGGGCCGGGCTCCTAAATGTTATGCCATCCTGCCTCTCAAAGCACAGTGATTGTAAAATAGACATTTAAGGGCCTTGTTATTCAGAGCACAAAGGGGTCTCAAAGGGAGAGAGGCAGGAAGGTGAGAGTTCCAACGGCCCAGACTTGGGAGTCAAACCCTTGCTCCACTGCCCACTGACAGGGTGACCTCGGGCATGAATGTCACCTCTCTGGGCCTCAGTTTCTCCATCTGTTGAATGACGGGCTGGGCTCCCTCTTCAGGCGCTGACCAGGTAGTGGCTTATAGGTCTCTGATCTGAAGTCACATAAGACACAAGCACTTGCCATCTGGCCCAACCCTGAGACTGGATTCTCAGGGGAGGAGGAGAACAGCAGCCTTATAGCCAGCGCTTCCCAGTTTTTCAGAAGAAACAGCCAGGGGTAGGCAGGATCCTCAGTGAAAGAGCATTAGCTCCGCATATCCTGCTTAATAACCCCTCTTACCCATGGATTTGCTACATCCTTTCCTCTGCTGCCCTGACACCTAGGCTAGGCTGGTGTGGCCTCCGAGCCGGGCCACACCCCAGGTTCTTTGGGGTTGAGCCTGAGCGATGAAGACTAACGAGGAGGGAGGGCAAGCAGATGCCCAGGGATGCGGCTGCTGATATTTGGCCCTCATCTTGTGCCCAGAGCTTGGTTTGCTGCATGCTGGGCATAGAGGGCGCTGTGACCTCCCCATGATGCTGACCACAGGCCCCAGGAGACACTTGGTGTGGTCTCAGGAGCCCTGTGCTGGGGGTGGCTCCACTCAGTCCAGCAAGGCCTCTCCTTCAGTCTCACCTCCCATGGGGACTAACCAAGACTTTGCTCCTCTTGGGCTTGGCGCACCTGGCCCCTCAGCCTGTGCACCCCGGGCTCCAGCTCTCCTGTGTGACTCCTGGGCAGGGGGTGTGTTCTGGCTCTGCCTCTGTCTTTCTTCTCATCACCTTGTTTCTACATCTTGGAAATTGTTTCTACAGCCCCCACAAACCCAGGTCCCTTAGGCTGTGTGTCCTCCCTCCTCCTCCCCGGGCTAAGGCTCTGGGGAGGCCTCTTGCCTTCTAATTTAGCATTACACTAAAAACAGTGCCTTTCCTCTTGATGTCCGATGTCGCTTTGCCCCGCCCTCCCCATCTGGTGGCTGGATTCCCCGGGAAGAGCAGCCTCTTGAGCAGTGTTGGTTCTTCTTTGGGGTCAGAGCACTGGATGGAGAAAACTGCCAGCCTCCCCCCTGCATCCCCCGCCCCCCAGGCCATATCTGACCCTCCCACCCCGTCCCCTGCCTCTGGCCCATGTACTGTTGTCTTCCTCGGCCCTAAGCTTGTTTTCTGCAGTGACCCTCAAGGGCATCTGCTCTGTCACCCTAACCCCCTCCTTTGCTTCCAGGATTTCCGGAAGTATGAGGAAAACTTTGACCCCTACTCCATGGTAAGCGAGAACTCCCCTCCCCTGGGGAGTAACCCCAGGAATGGGGGTGGGAGGGATACACTGTGTTTGGTGGTGGTAGATTCAGGGCCCTGGGGGTCCCAGGGATGAGGTGGGACACATTAGAAGTCCCAAGGAGGCCCAGCTACTGTTTCCTGTGAAGGCTCCTTTCAAATGGCATTCCGATGTAAAGGGTATGAGTGTGTGTGTTGTAAAGGGTATGAGTGTGTGTGTGTGTGTGTGTGTGTGTGTGTGTGTGGTTTACAACAACAGTTACACTTACTGAGCACTGGCTAAACGCCAGACACTGTGCTTTGTGTTTACAAGGCACGCTCTCACCAGTCTCACGATATTGCCGAGAAGAATGGATCTGGGCTTTGTGTGGTCACCTCTGTGTGTGTGTCCGTCCTGTGTCTTCTAGTCAAAGACTGATGAGGATAGGGCTGGGAAGGTTCCCCTTGCTCACGTCCTCTGTGAGGTCCAATGTCCCACAGGCACCTGGATTCCCCTCCAACCCCTGCCCCACCCCCACCCTTCAGGTGGACTCAAAGCTCGCCCCCCCACCCCGTCTTTTCCCTCTAGTTCACCCCAGAGCAGATCATAGGGAAGGATGTCCGGCTCCTGCGCATTAAGAAGGTACCTGGGCACGTGGAGGTTGGGTAGCCAGCACCCTTCTTTGCCCCTGTCCCCTCCCATCTTGGTCCCCTGCTTCTCGTACTCTTAATATGGCTCCTGGGTGACCCCTCAAATCCCCATTATCCCTCTTTTCTCCCCCTGAAGATCCTCCTGCGGTGGGATCCCATGCCCAGGCCCCATTTGGCATCCATGCCTCATTTTCTTCCCTACAGCACTGTCGTTGGCCCTATGCCTTCCACTGTCCTCTCTGTGGCCCTGTCAAGAGGCTCTTTCGTGCCAAGGTGCCCATAGGCACTGTCTGCTTGGCTCCCTAAGACTTGTTTTCCTCTGACCAGGAGGGAGCCTTAGACCTGGCGCTGGAAGGTGGTGTGGACTCCCCGATCGGCAAGGTGGTTGTCTCGGCTGTGTATGAGGGGGGAGCTGCTGAGCGGCATGGTGAGTGGGGACAGCAGTGCCCCGATTTGGGGATGGTGCAATGGTTATACAGATCTCTCCAAGAAAGCCAACAGCTGCCCATGTGGAGGGGGTTAACAGTTGCTCAAGAATGCCCCCCTACCTGTATCCATTCATCCGTCTACCCAGTCCCACACATTACCTGCGTGCATACGATGGTGCCAGGACCTGTGGATGGGTACACAGCCACACACCAGATATCACCCTGCCCTCCAGGGGTTCCCCATCCTGGGGTGAAAATATACCCAGAATTGCTAGGTACTGACAATAACAGTGTGGTCTGCTAAGGGCTGAAGGAGGTGTAAGGGGGTGGAGGGAAGCTGTGGGGACTCTGAGGGGCCCCTAGCCCACCAAGGGAAAGGGGGTGCTGGGAAGGCTCCCTAGAAGGGTGGTGCCTAAGCTGAGCCACAAAAGATAAGTCAATGTTACCTTTGGCAGGGTGGGAAACAGCTTTCCAGAACAACGGGACAGCACATATAAAGGCAAGAGACAAACTATCAAAACCTGACCTGTCCTTTTAATAATGATGGTTCTGTCAAGAACTAACCATGTGCCAGATGCTATTCTAAGTACCTGTGTCTAATATGTAGACATGTCATTCATGGGTATTAACTGATTTAATCCTTATAATGACTCCAAAAGTAGGTACTATTATTATTCTCATTTTACAGCCAGTAAGCAGTGGAGGCAGGACTTGAACCCAAGCAGTTTGGTCATTTTGCTCTGCTTTTGGTCACATTTGCCCAGCAGAAGTGCCACCTCTGCCCAGGCCTTCCACAGCCTTGCCCCCTTCCAGAGGGGCAGGGTGCCACCCTCACACCTGTGTCTGTCTTGTGGCACGATCTTTTTGCTTTGCCTTTATCCCCTCATCAACAAAAACACCCTCTGCTGATGAGTGAAGCCTTTGAGGACCCCAGGCACAGGCTCTTGCCTCAAGCTATCAACCCATTCAGTGTCATACAGTGTCTGGAACTCCACCATGAATGATTTCTTCTTCCAAGTCCAGGAGGCTTTTCAGTACTCCCAAGGCCTTTATGGAAGTACAGGTGCCCTCAGAGGACCTCGCCTCACCTTTCTGAGCCAGAGCCCGGAACCCTGTGATCTGATTTTCTGGGCAGTGCCAGGCTAGAATCAGGCTCTCCCACAAGCCCGAGGTGGTAGAACGGAGGGTGGGTGAGGGCCTGAGGCAGGAGATGGAGTGATAGGAAAATCACCTGGTCACCAGCAGCCAAACTTCCGTGGGGGTACTTAGACAAATCCAGCTCTGTCACCTATGGCCTCAGTGACCTCAGGCCTCTCACTGCCACACTCTGAACCTCCATTTCAGCTATAGGAAGGAGGCTTGCTCAGCGAGGCAGCCACCATGGCCCACACCCTCCTGCTCTGTCCTATTTCTGTGCCAATTGAGGGTAGGGCTGATGCTTGGCCCAGGGAGGCCACCTGTCTGCTATGTCTAGCAGGTAAAGAAGACCAGGACAAATGCCTGACTTTTCCTGACCTCCCCCCGCCCACCCGCTGCTTGTACAAAATAAAAAAGTGAAACTCACCTCTCCCCAGGCCCACTGTCCAGAGAAAACTTCTCTCTACAGCGTGGCCCACACTGCTTTGGACATACAAGCAGCTGGTGAAAGTTTCTCCAGGAGCACATGTATTATAAACCACCACAGCCTCCATCTTCGGTAACACACATCACATTCCCGTGATCCTCCATGCCCACAAAACTCCTTTGGGCTGATCTATTTCCACAAACCCAGAGAGTGTTCTGTGGACACCAGAGCTAGGAGAAAACCCTCAAAAAGAGAAGAAAAAGGAGTTCTGAAGTTGAAGATATATAGGAAACCATTCACAATCTATCCACTTCTTGGAGAGCCATGTACATATTAGCATATCCAATGTTTTGACCAGTCTTGTAGTAACTGTTTAGCTTATAACTCAACTTTTCCCAAATGTATTAGATCACAGGTCATCTTTCCAGGAATACCTTCAACATCATTCATTTATTCAACAAATAGCTATTGAATTCCTATTTTGTGGTAGGTATTATGTTAAAGGCTAGGGACAGAGCCTTGAGCCAAAAAGATAGTTCTTACCCTCATGGAGCTGACAGTCTGGTCGAAGATACTGTCAGTCAACAAATAGATATATGATTACAAATTGTGAAAAATGCTATGAAGGAGAAGACCAGGATACTGTGAAAGAATAAAAGGAAAAAAGATCTACTGAATGAGTGGGGGTCAGAGAAGACCTCTCTGAAGAGGAGGCATTTCATCTCCAACCTAGAAGAGAAGAAAGGGAGATGGGACACGTGTTCCAGGTGGAACAGCATGTGAAGGCTCTGAGGCAGGGAAGAGCTCAGCAAGCTCAGAGACCGGAAGCAGACCAGCAGGGCTGGAGCACAGAGAGATGGCTCGCAGAACTAGCTCGTGTTTCTAGTAACCTCACTGGGAAAGCAGGCCCTCTGCAGTAGCAGAAGCCCACAGCAAAGCTGGGGTGGCAAAGAGTCGTCACTGGTGTCCTTATTCTGTCGAGTGGGGTGAGGGCCTGTGGATGGCGTGGGAAGGGAGTGTCCTTTGAGTAACCTGGTGGATTGTTTTCCTCTGTGCTTTCTGAGCCCATGGGAGCTTTCAGGATCCAGGAGTTAGACTTCTTCCGTGGCCCTACAGTGACCCCCTTTGCCGAGCTCTGGGCTAGGCACATGTCACATACAGCCCAGTTGGCCAATCAGCCTCATCTCCCTGCAGGCGGCATTGTGAAAGGGGACGAAGTCATGGCGATCAATGGCAAGGTCGTGACAGACTACACCCTGGCCGAGGCTGAGGCCCTCCTGCAGAAGGCCTGGAATCAAGGGGTAAGAGTGAACGCCCGCCCTGCCTCCCTCCCTTGTCTGCCTGCCTCAGACCCTGGCCTCTTGGCCAGGCCTTACAGTCGGGGTGCCCCATCCCAGGGCGGGTATCCAGAGTCCAGGCAACTCTTGGGTGACACCCACATAACCCATCCATCCCGTGGTCTGAATCTGACAAGATGGGATTTAGAAAAATAAATGTCAGATCTCGATCTTGAATCGAAAAAGCAAGTGACACAAATACAGACTCCAGAAGGCCAGGTGTGGCAACCCACCCAAGAAAAAGACTTAAGGTCTTCTCTAAGTGTGCACTGCCCAGGAATCAAGAGCGTTCTTGGAGCTATTAGAAAGCATTAACAGAAGCAGAGGGCCCAGATTGGAGGAGGGGCTAGTGGCAGTCTGTTCTGTGCTCATTACACACCCACCTGGGTTATGGCCTCCACATAAGGTCTCCCAGGCTGTGCACTGCACAATCCGAGGGGGTGCCCTCCTACCGACTACAGTGTGAGTGGTGCCCGCTCATGTTGTGCAATGCACAACCTGTGCAACTGTATGCAGGCAGCCGAGTCTGAGGTATTAAGTTCAGTGCCGAGGAAGCTGACCAGATGGGACTGGGACCCCCATGAAGGGATGTGGAGAAGAGAAGACTTACGGGTAACATGATGACTGTCTTTGATTATCTGAAGGGCTGCAATAGAGTGGAGGGAGCAGAAGTGTTCTCTGTGGTTCTTGAGGGCAGAACTGGATTGGATGGAGGGAGGTCCTGGGAAGAGATTTCAGCTCAGTATTAGGAGCTATTGCCTGGTAGAGAGGCCCAGTGATGGATCACATACTTTTTATTGGCTACACCCAAGCCAAAGATGGACAATGATGGATAAGCCAAGGATGGCAGTGATGCCATTGAGGGGATTCATGTGTTAGGATCAGAAAGCTAGACCTGAAATCCCCCAATTGTGCATCAGAATGACCCAGGGAGCTTGTTAAAAATACTGTTTCCCAGGACCTACCCCAGATTTCCAGGGGCCAACTCTGTGAGTCTATAGAGTTTTAAGAAATTCTTCCAAAGTGATCTTGAGGCTGCTGCCTGTCCCTGGTCCATGGATAAGCATTTGGGAACTTAGTGTCATTCAAGGGCCTGGCAACCCTGGCCTCTATAGTTCTGAAGTTTCAGAGACTGCAAGGGTCCCCACACCATGGGACTGCACAGTGAGGTCCATCCCCACCAGGAGGTCCTCCAGCCCCACCTGGGCCCACTTTCCCATAAGAAGGCCTTAGCCAGCTGGTCCTGGGATATGGTGCCCAGGAATGGGAATGGAGTGTCAGGGTCAGACCCATCCTCGACCCCTGAGCATGCCCTGCAGTCACACACCTTCTCCCCACAGGACTGGATCGACCTTGTTGTTGCTGTCTGTCCCCCCAAGGCGTATGATGATGAGCTGTAAGTGTGTTCGGGAGCCTGGCCCACGACCTTCTCTGCCTCCTCCTCCTCCAGAGTCTTGACCACCTTCTCCCGCCCCCCACCCAACCCCCACAAGCCTCCATCCAGCCTGAAGAAATGGCCCAAGCACACAGCTTCTAGTAGTAGTCGCTCCTAAAAAGCTCCTGGGCTAGAGAAATCCTAGTACTAAGTCACTGTCCTCAAGTGCTGTCACAGCTGTCACCAAGACTATCCTGTCCAAATTCTTCTTTACATGTGAAAAACTTAGGCCCAGAGAGGTTAAGGCCTCAGACCAAGTAAACGAAGTCAGGACAAAACCTTGGGACTTCTGAGTCCCCACTCAGAACTTCACCCCCTTCATCAGCTAGTTGGAAGATGTCTATGTCTTCTGCTCTCTGGAAGGGCTTCCTAATAGGTAACTGTGTTCCCCCTTGCTGAGTCTCTACGTGGCCAGGACCACAGGCTTTGGCCCTAACTGCAGGATCTCCAAGGAGCCTCGGCCCAGTCTCCTTTCTCTGTGTTTCTCTCTGTGTTTCTCTCTGTGTTTCTCTCTGTGTTTCTCTCTGTGTTTCTCTCTGTGTTTCTCTCTCTCTCTCTCTCTCTCTCTCTCTCTCCTGTCTCTGTAGCTGTGTGGGTCTATTTCATTCTCTCTCTATCTTTCTCTCTGCTCCCAGCCCCCATCTGCTCCTCTTTTTCCCCTTCCTCCTTCTTCCCCTTTGTCACCTTCCCTCTCCTTTCTTACCCCCTCCTTCACTTGCTTCTCTCTCTGTCCCTGGCTCTGAGTCCCTGATTCACCATCACTGTCACTCTACATCCATTTTCTCTCTCTGTCTTTCTCTGTCTCTCACTCTGCCTCTGTGGTTTTGCGCCTCCGTCCTCATCTCATCACATCACCTCCCTCCCACTCTGCTTGCCTGTCATGGCTCTGCCTGCTCGCTCGCCCTGCCCAGCAGAGGCCGAGCTTGTGCATGTCTTAAAGAAATCAAGGTCTTACAGCAACTAATTCTGGAACCCAGGGCCTAGGCAGGAGCCAAGTGAAGGCATAGGTCCAGTGGATCTCTGCCTGGGAATAATCGAGCCCTGTTTTGTGTTTCCTGCTCTGCTCTGCGTATGTAGCTTTTCTCTTCCCTCCTCTGCAGCCGAAAGCCCCCAGCCAGTCCAAAAGCTCCTTGAAGACCGTGCTCCCGTGCATAGACACGGGTTCTTCCTGCAGCTGGAGCCTGGCAGCCCCCATGGTGAATAGGCAGGCGGGCTGCAGGGCCCCGTCTGTCCATGTTGTGTGTAGTGGCCGTCTGCTGCCCATGCTGTCGGCAGGTTCTTTGGACTGGTGTCTGGAAGGGCGCATGAGGCACCGTCCCTGAAGTGCCACCCGGGCCTACTGCTAGCCACACAGTCAGGCTGAAAGGCCTTCCCACTCAGGGGAGCCAAGCAAAGCCCAGCAGTAGCATGCTTGAGACCTGGGCTTCCTGACTCACCACAGCCCTTGGGACCTGCCATAGGTCCCACGCAGCACCCAAATGAGCAGGATGGAGCAGTGAGTACCATTCTCTGTGGGGTACAGACAATGCCTCAAACCAGGCACAATGGGCTGGCAGAGCCCAAAGGAAGCACAGCCTGGGTTTCCCCTTCCCTGGGGGCGCCACCTTCTGGAAGCCCTGCTCCACAAGGCCCCATGCTTGGGCAGAGCCAGGGCAATTAAGAGGCGATTAAGGCTGGTCCAAAGAACCAGGGTTGGCCTATTGGGATTGTTCACATCCTGTTGTGACCTGTTGTGGCCTGAGCACTGCTCAGACCAAACTGTCCTCTGTGCCTTCTCTCTTCCTTGGCTCTGGATTCTTATCTGTGGGACATTGTGGAGCCCAGCTTTGGGATGTGTTTCCCACCCTGTGACAGGGCTATGTCCATGGACAGAGCTGGCAGGTGGCTGTGAGCGGGTGTTGGATGTGGTCTAAAGCCCACAGCTGGCAACATCTGGGGCAGACCCAAGTCTGGACTTACTGACTTCCCTGTTACAAGTTTCTCAAAACATTAGGGCCTCATGCTCCCAAGACAGTTGGCCTGCTATGCCGTGGCTTCTGGGATGGCCTCAGTGGCCCTATGTTTTCTGTCACTTGTCATCTGCTCTTTGTGAGAGATCCCAGCCCCTCTGTCTTCGGGTCCCCTTCTAGCTCATCCCAGGTGTCCCCCTGCTTTCTCCCTGGCCTCCTGTGTGCTGTGGCTAGTGTGTAGCTGCTGGGGGCCTGCACCAAGAGCGGCCTCCAGAGGTTAGCAGGGCCTTGTGCCATTGCAGGGGGCGGGAGGGGGGGAGTGTCCTCCCTGTTGTCAGGCCCTGCTGTGGGCTGAGTGTGCACCCACAAGGCCTGCACCTGCCTGGTCTATTTCTTCTTCCCCATAGGACCTTCTTCTGAAGCCTACAAGGAGAAACCAAATTCACCCCTAGAAGCCGGTGGGCTCTGGACCCGCCCTCCTGAACACAGAGCCTGGAACCAGCCTTGGGAGACTCCAGCCTGCAGGCACCCTAGAAACCCGCAGCCAGCACCCAGAGATCTCAGACTCCCATTGGCCCTGAAGTAGGGCTGCATAAGGAACACCTCGGGCCACTCCTCTGAAGGACAACATGGAAGGAGGGAGCAGCCAACCGTTCTGAAGTGGGTGGGTCCTGGGATCCAGACTCGAGTCTTCCTTCTGGCCCTGCGAATTTGGTCTTTCCCAGCCCTGGAGACGCTGCCCTTGAAATCTAGTAAGAGCTGACTCTGAGCTCTCTCTCTCTCCATCCATCTCCTCTCTCTCCTGCTATCATTACTATTAAGATTGCTGCCACAAACCTTACTCTGAACTCATTAATAAAATAAACAGATTTCCAGCTTATGGAAGTAAGTGTGGATTGGGGCAGTAGATTCAAGACTGTCACATAAAAAACTATAAGGTTTTGGCTCCTATTCAAGAGTAAGAAACAGAACACAATGTTGTGATATGGGTCTGACATGAAGAATATGATAAAATGGCCAAGGGCTGGCTTGGAGCAGGGAGTTGGGGCAGTAGGAGACAGGCTGAGCTGGGCTTCAATGTCTTCTCAGCAGAAAGATGGCAGGAAATGAAGCCCATGTGGTAGGGACTTTGCTCAATTCCAGAAAATGTAACTCCAAGGGGCTGGCAGAAGGTAAGTCAAGGCTCTCCTGGTTACAAGGCCCAGAGACATTCTCAGGCTAGCTTCAGGGAAGAAAGTGGGACCATGTCAGTATAGGCATTGAATGGAAATCCAAGCCAAGGAGATATGGTGTCCCTAGGCCCCCTATAAATTGGAAGTGGAAGGTGGTTCTGATTTAAAGTGTCTGAGAGGAGCAGCTCTCTCCATTTAGGCCTCCTGTCTCTGCCACCAGCTTTCTCTGAGCCCTCAGTGCCCAACTTAAACATGGCCATCATAATTTTCTGCCTAACTCTAGGTGACCTCTCAGCTATAGCTCCACCATCACTACCTGGCTCAGTCTCCATTTCCCAATTCCAAATTTCCAAAGCAGAATGTGATTGGCCAATTTACCTGAGTGGGCAGCCCTGGGGTCAGAGACCATTCCCAGGTCCATCAGCTGTGGCTGGGAGGGTGGGGTCACATCCCACCCAACATGACTGCTGAGGCATCAGGGACTGTAGGCAGTGAGTAATGATCAATGGGGAGGGGCAAAGAGGAGAGAGAGAGAGAGAAAATACATCTGCTGGACTTTCTGATCTCAGAGACAAAACCACAATGATCTTCTAATAGCTGGCTCCCAGAGACAGGAGTTTTCTGTGTTTTCTTATCTAGCTTGTAATTTGGCTCTAGAGACGATTCCAAAATGAAGGTAGAAGGTAGGAGCTCATCTTTGCTGCCACCTACTATGTGCTAGGCCTGGGCTGGACCCTGGTATCTGCCATCTCAAACTGCAATGACTAGGATGGGTACATGGACCCCAAAGGAGCCCGGTGATAAATGCTGACACTTAGCACTGATTATGTGCCAAGTATTATTCTAAGCACTAAGCTCATCTACTCCCTTCAACACTGCAAGGTAGGTACTACTGTTATCACCAACCTCATTTTATTAAGAGAAGATTGGGGTACAAAGAGGTTAAGTGACTTGATAGGTCATGTGAGGAAGTAGTGGAGCTGGCATTCAGGGCCCAGGTGCTCTGGCTCCGGAGACCGTACCTTTCTCCGCTCTATGCTGCACAGGGCAGGGCAATCCTCATTGGAATGTCTCAGGTTCTAGACTGCTGGCCGAACAATTCTCCCCACAACTAATGTTCTGCTGTTCAAGGATGGTTACCTTCCTCCTGTGACTTAACAAACACTGCTGCTGAGGCTTTCAGCTTGTTGATGCCTGGAGCCGCACTATTTGAAGTTTATCTCCAGCTATTCTTAGTTCTTGGCACCTCAGAGTGAATGAGTTTATCAGTGCTTACACGACTTGATGAGTGAGACAATGAAGAGGGCTTTGACCCCCTGGTTAGAGGACAGGGGCAGGGAAGGTGTGCCGCTGGGCAGGGCGGGAAGAGGGACCGAGGGGAGGATGGGAATATATGTGATGTAAGTCCTGAGCCATTAAGGTCAGGTAGAGCTGACAGGATAAGGGACTACAATGGGCTTCGGCTCCCTTTTTATAAGCCTAACTCCCGCTTCATTATCATCAAGAAAATAAATTCTCACGTGTTGGAAAGTTGTCCTGTGTTGAATCCAAAGTATACAGATCACCCCAGCAGACATTGACATTAGTCAGGTAAGCAGTGGAACGGTCCAGAGAACATGTATAAAAGTAAGGCCTAAAGCAGTTCCTGACTTTCTGTGGGGGTCATACGGGGCACGGCCGAAGCCAGAGTCCATTGGGGGGCCTGGGCCAGACATAGGAATCCACTTCAGTGCCAAGACTGAGTATTCAAGACTAAAACCCATACAAGCAAAGGACGGCCCATGTTCCAACATTGGCTCCCTCACGCATGGCAGACATCACTACTTTAATCCCAAACTCTCTCTAACCAGCCAGCCAGGCAGCCAGTAACCACTGATCAAATCTGGCCCATAACATGAACCCTACTTGTCAGCTTTGAATCTAACTCCCATCATTGGGTGTTCAGAAAAATGGAGGCCAAGGAGGGGGTGCCTTGTCCAGTGTCCCCCTAACTTGGTGTCAGAGCTGCCATTTCTAGTGTACTGCACAGTGGGGACAAAACTGGAAAAGGCTGGGAATTCAAGGAGCCCTTTGGCTCTGAACTTTTTGCATTTAATGCATCTCAACACAGTTGCTTCCCACAGCTAGTCCCTGGTGTGCTGAGCTGGCCTTGAGCCTCTCACTTCTGTGTCTGGAAGTCGGGGGGCAAGGTGTGGGTGCACAGCCTCTGTGCTGCAGAAACAGCCTCTTTGGGCCTGTGTTGGGCTAGGAAGCTGGTCCTTACCCGATTCCTGCCTCATTCCCAAGCCTGAGATTTGGATAAAAATCTGTTTTCAGAACTGAAAGCCCTTTTCTCCTCCTGTCCCTACAGTGACCCTTCCCAGCTCCCTGGGGCCCAGGCTGGCCATGCTCTGTGAGAACTGGAGGGTGTAGGCGTGGCCCCCTGGGAAAGGTAGGTGGGGCTGCTGCAGGGAGAGGGCCAGGGGCCAGAGGTCCTGTCATAGCTGTCACAGAGGCCTGGAGGTTGCAGCCCAGGAGCCCACTCACTGGCCTTGGCAGAGGTAAGAGTGCTACTAAGTACTAGGTGTTTACTATGTGTCAAGTACTGTACTGAGCCCTAAACATGTAGTGACAGTTAATCATTACAAGACATTACTAAGAGGTAGACAATGATGTTATCTTCACAGAGAATACTGAGGCACCAGGCATAAGTAATATGCCTGAGGTTAAATAGACAGCAAGTGGCAGAGCATAGACCTGGGCGGGTGGCTCCAAGGGTCCATATCACTAACCACCACGCTATATTGCTTTGAGTAGATGAGAAAGAAATGATGTATAGAATGTGATTTCAGAGGCACCAGAGGAAACTCCAGCCATACAAGAACTCCTTTCTGCCTCTGTCTTCTCTCTGCTTCATTGTGTCCTTCACACTGCAAAGTGAACCAGCCAAAACCTGGCTCTCCTTAAAACTCTTCGACACCTCCCATGCTGTCCTCAGGACAAAGTCCAAACTCCTGGCATAGAAAGTCCCCCATCACCTGACCCCTGACAACTCCTCCAGCTGGTCTCTTGCCAATCACTTCTTTCACTTCAGCCACACTGAGCTCTGGGTTCCTGGGCTCGCCATGCTCTATTGCTTGTCTGTGTCTTTGCACATGTTCACTCTAACTTGTCCCCCTTATGCTCACATGAACTTCTACCCATCCTTCATGGCCCAGGTCGATTGTAAAAGGGGACTACTGGGCCTGGCATGGAGTGAGAGCTCAGTCAGTGTGAGCTGCTTCTCCCTCCTGAGATGGACCTTTGGGTTGTAAGTGACAGGAACCCAATTCAAGATGACCACTGAAGTGAAAAATCCAGGAGTATTTGATGTCAGATCTAGCTGGATGTGAGTGTTAAAACAGTGACATCAAGCATCTGTTCTGGCCATCTGTAATTGTTAGGGGGAGAGGGAGAGAGGGACAGAGAGAGAGAGAGAGAGAGAGAGATTTTAAAGACTTGGGTCACACGACTGTGAAGCTTGGCAAGTCCAAAATATGCGGGCCAGGCTAGAAGGCTGGAGACCCAGGAAAGAGCCAATATTGCAGCTCAAGTCTGAAGGTAGTCTGGAGGCAGAATCCCCTCTTCCTCAGGGGATATCAGTCTTTTTTCTATTAAATCCTTCAACTGATTGGAGGAGGCCCACCCACATTGTGGAGGATAATCTTTACTCAAAGTTTACTAATTTAAATGTTAATTTCATCTAAAAAAATACCTTTACAGCAACAACCAGACATGTTTGACCAAATATCTGAGTACCATGGCCTAGCCAAGTCGACACATAAAATTATCCATCACGCCATCTCTTAGCTCTACCCATCTCTGCTTGACTTTAATTCACAGCTGGGCTCTTCCCATGTGATGCCAAGATGGCCTCCAGTTTTCAAATTCTACCAGGTAGTGCAACCCCAGTGGGAAAAGCACACCTCTATCCTAAGAGTTCCAGCTAAATCCTGAGGATTTACTGATGAGCTGGACTTGAGGGTAAAGCCTCCTTCAACTGACCAGGCCTGAGTTACACATCCACCCATGTAGGCCCACCAGCACACCATGGACTGAGTGAAGGGGAAGGGTGGGGTCCAATAGGAAACCTAAGGTGCTGCTACAGAATAAGGGGAAGTAGATCTGGGCAGATCCTTGAAAGACCTCGGTCCCTGAAAGTTCCCTCCCTCCCTCCTTTCCTTCTGTTCTTCCCTTTTC